AATTTGTAAGTCTATTTAATAATGACGTAGATTAAATTTTCAGCTGTTTAATGACCAAATAATTTCCCAAGTAACAAAATCATTGTTTTGTTGTTGTTGTTGTTGTAGTGATTGCTTTGTTCCATTGAAATTCCTAGAGAATTACCAAAATTGACAGGAGCAATTCCTGCTGTTTGGTACCCGTAAAAGTCACTCTCTCGTCTGGGTGCAAATGACAAATTTCAAAGACTGTTCTCTTTAGGCAATGAGAAAAGCAGTTGGGGCCAGCAGCAATGGGGCCAGCAAAAGACCGAACTCCACCAATAGCCAAACAAAAAGCCAGATAGCTGCTTGGGAGGGCTTCTGAAACATTCCCTACCTGCAGAAGCCAAGTCATGAGCAAGGCATTCCGGGTCAGTCACCCAAATCTGTTACCAACAGACCAGGGTTTTGGTCTAGGTCCTGCTGTTCACCACAAAGAAAGCCAATGACTGAGACAATGAGTTGCCTAGAAAGAAGGCTTTATTTTTGTACTGCAGACAAAAAGATGGGAAAGCAGTCAAAATTCATGTCCTCAACTTACTAAAATTAGGGGTTTATATAGCTGGGGAAAATGTAATTACGTGTGGAAAAACAAGAATTAGGGAAGAGTGAGGAAGAGGAGTTGGTCAACAGGAAACAGTCAGTAATCATGATGGGTGAGGACTTAGGCATCTCCTTTTCCAGATGCAATAATCTGGTTAGTTTTAGATTCTTGATATCATCTGGGAGGCCTGATGATTGGTTTCCTGAGAAAAGGAAATCAGATAAGACAAATGAAACTTTCTCAAGTTTTATGACTGGGGCAATCCATTTCTATGTTTATTCAAAAGAAACCATAAACGTCATTTCTATGGGACATATGGACAGGTTTCAATTTCATTTTTAAAGTATATGACACACATTTTCCCTGATTTACTATTTTCTGACATCTGCCTTACTCTGCCATACAAATTTCTACTCTTCTTTCCAGCCTTTTATTTTTAGTATTCCTGCAGCTCAGTTCTTACTCTTCTTTGCTCTCTAATTCCATTCACTCTGAGGTGATTTCATTTAGTCTCAGAGATTTAATAAAAATCTATATTTGATGACACCTAATTTTATTAAGGTGATTTTTTCCTTCTGGTCACTTTGGCCAAATATACTTCTATCAAAGCTTAGTTCCCAGTTTATTCTATCCTAACTACCTCCGCCTCTTCAAAGGTCATTCAAAACATATCTCCTCTCCCCTGCATCTCCAGCATAACTTCCTGAATGTTCTTCCTACTTCTAGTTTTGATTCCTGGAAGTTTATTCTCAACATGAAAATCAGAACGGTCTTTTAGAAACATGTCAGATGTCACTACTCTGCTCAAGTACAAATTTAACATTTTAATTTCTGTTAAAATGCACTTCCTCAAGAACCTTTCATAGCCATTATGTTCAATACTGAAAATTTACTTCTGTAATCTCCTATTTAGCCCTCCCAATTCTTCTTAGCTGTAACTTTTTTCTTTTTACTTTGTTTTCTTAGACAATTCTGTGTGAAATACTTCTTTTAATTGATTAATTCCACACAATAATGTAAGCTTAATTAAAGTATGCATCTCTCATTGTGAAACTGATTGTATATTTCAGGTGGCAAAAGTAGCCCCTAGCACATAGTTCCTATACACTAGTTGTTGCTTAAATGAGTAAACCAAATAGTCCTTTTAATAAATAAACATGTTGTATTGCAAACATATAATGTTTCTTATTCCATTTTAAAACTAATAAAATTGTTATAGTGTTGCAATTTTACATTTATGTGCATTTTTCTGATTATTCATTTTAATATTTCTCATGTTTTATTAAATCGTGTTTGTATGTCATTAATATTACTTGTCAATATTATATGTTGTAAATGTCTTCTCTCAATTGGTGATGTCTTCTCTCTCAAACGTCTTCTCTCAATTGTAAATCTCTTCTCTCAATAGATATCTTTTGGTGAACAGGTGATACTTATATTTAACATGTGTTTTAGTTTATTTTTTAAATAAATTTTCTGTGCTATATGTTTGCATTGTCTTTCTGCTTCAAAGACAGGTGTATTTTCACCTATATTTTCTCTAAAATTTTAACATCTTAATTTTGATATTTAAATTATTGAACTATTTTAATTTTTGTGTATAGTTGAGACTGAAAATGTTTTTGTTTTCCTTTTTACATAATTTTAATATCCCTGTCATGAATAGCTCCTCTCTTTTCCATGGCTCCGTCATGTTACCAGGTCATTTATTAGCGTTACATAGATCTGCTATGGAACAGACACAAGTCTGCTTCTGAGCACATGCTCTTATACAGGCGGTTGATTTGTCTAATTCTGTATCATTACCACATGATTTTAATTATTATAGTTTCAAAATTAAAACTGATATCTGCTAAGGGATTCCACCTTTATGCCTTTGCATTCCTATGTGTCTTTGTATTTCACTTTTCATTAATAATTTGTTTCAGTTTTTTAAATCTACTTCAATGAATAACACTGACCTGCAATTATTATATTTTCTTGTCTTGCTTTTCATCTGAAGACTCACACAATGCATTAGGAAATTAAAATATTGTGTATTCTCCAGAATACAAAAGATTTGTAATATTAGAAATAACTATTCATGAAATGTTTGGCATAAATTGGCTCCATAGGCATAGGGGTACAGTCCAGTGTGTTTCCTTTTTAGATTGATTTTCAGCACTTGCTCTATAAAGTAAACGGTTGTCAAAAATTTAAATTTTGAGATTTCTGCTTAATTTTGGTTAATTTTTTTTTCAAAACATTTCTTCACATGCTGGTTTGAAATTCATTAATGCTACTTACGTTCTTTTAAAAATCATCTTTGTATTTTATTATGTTTATTTAATATAAAATCTAAGGTACATAAAAATTGCCAACTAGTTTGCTAAAAATTCAAGAATTCTAAAATGATCTACTGCTACAGCATAGTTATTCTCAAACCTTAGTGTGCACTGTAAGCACCTGGGAAGCTTGTTAAAACAATTAGCTAGGCTCCACCCCTGGAAAATCTGATTCATTAAACGAGGTCTGAGAACGTGAAACTAAGAACTTCACAGGTAATGTGAAGTGCTGGTCCATAGACAACATTTTGAGAACCTCACTGGTTACAGATGCTATTGTTACATTGTTCTTGTCACACTAGTCCACGCTGGGTTCTGCTGACAGAACAGTGGGCATCTCCTATTTTAATTGTCAGCTTTCCATCTAAAGCATACTTTCTTCTTGCTAAAGTATTATTCCAGAGCCAGAAAGTCTCCTTTGTCAATGCACAAGGAAGCCTGAAATTCCCAGAGATATTTGGTGATAACCTTCAAGCAATAAAGCCTGCATATTATTCTATGGGTCATTAACAAGTTTGAGCTCCAGTTGTCTTTGGCAGTGACTCATTTGCCAAGTCATTCTTTATTGTCCTTAATCTTTCTGGTCTCACCGCTCCACTTTCACAGGTGTTCCCTAGGACCATCTTCAAATCAACCACCTACTTCCCATGATCCAGTACTGCCTCATTGTTTACTTTTGAGAGAACAGTAACTAAGGCAGTTACTTGACAGTGGTCTTAGAAAGGATAACATCCTGTTAGAAATCTCAAATTGGATCACCTGATGCAATTGAAAACTAGAAATTGTTTGGTATAAACAAAGATGTAATAATCATGGGTAACTATAGAATAAAAGTCTGTAAAACTATAATCCATGATGGATTCGGACTAGGAGCAAGCAGAAGAATAAGAAATGATTTATTTGAAAGCTCTGGCTTTTGAATGATATGGGTACAATGGCAATTTTTACGTTGTGGAGTTATATTGTTTTTGTTGACTGCCCAGAAGACCTGAGGAAGTAGATTGTCCAACACAATATGTAAGAAGGCTTAACACTTGACTTGGCAGGACGAAGCTACCCTGAAAATCATGCAATTAATAGTTTCAGAACATTAAGCAAAAAATTGTAAAGTTGGAAGACATAGAAAACCCTCCTCTGACTTAAGAGTCACTAGTTTGACTAAATCACCTGGAATTGGTCTTGATATACTACTAGGATAGATATTTAAAACTTAGACATTACATAACTTCAGTCAAATAGGGTAAGAGCATTAAGATATCTTGAAAGTTTTAGTAAGCATTCTGAGAGTTTAGTGGAGATGATGATTTTAAAGTAGGTATACTGAGAGAAATTGAAAAGAAAAGAATCACAGAACTATGTTCACTGAAAGGTGCAGTTAGCACGAAAAGGAACAGAAAATGAATGATGAAATGGGGTTATATATATCACTACAGAAATTAAAAATTAGTAAAAGGAAATTGATATCTATTGGAGGAAAATAGATGAATAGCAAACAAGAATGTACGGCCAAGAAAGACCAAAATCATGCAAGATGAAGGCAGATGTCAACAGGTATAGTAGAAACACACACACACACACACACACACACACACACACACACACACACACTTTTTACTCAGTTTTTGTATCTGAACCAGTTTTTAGAGCCAGATCATATCAATTGAAGGGGAGGTAGAATTATCTTCAGGATGGAATCTGTAGTATCAAATAAAGACTGTACAATAAACATTCATGGAACCAGTTGTGTAACGGAACCAGTTTATATCAGTTTTCAAGAGTTTATTGTTAGCAACTTTTCTCAACTATGTCTTTACTGTTATCATGTTGGTATCTTAAAATCAGCCACAGTGAGTGTATTTAAACCATAGAACTTTTAAAAATGATATAAGTTATTTTTTTTCTCTTTGCCTAACACACTCAAGGGAGTAGGTGGTTTGAAAATTTTAGGTAGACTACAGCTCTTACTGGTTTCCCGTTATGACTGCCCACTGAGGGAAGGGAAACACTCAGCTTCTGAAACTTCTGTTGGAAACAGGCTTTGAATTAATGACTCCTACACTCCAATTCAGCTCCATGAAGACTCATTCTGTATTCATTTCTTCAGTTCCTAGGTGCATAACAGAAATCCTATATTGGCAACTGACAGAATACTCACACGACTTGCCAATCTATGGGTTACGAGCGATTATGATGGAATAAACCAAAGGAAGCTCCTGAAAATTACTTCTTCAGTCAAAAAAGTAAGTCAGAATAACTACCAATTTTCAGGTAAAATTATGTAATTAGGTGCCACCATATAAAATGTAAGTAACATAGAGGTCATCAGCCATATTATATTCCTATTCAGTTAATGGGTTTAGGTTCTAAAAACTAAATAAATGAAAACAAGAACGAAACAGACAGTGAAAAGTGAATTATATTCCATAATTTCTGACTTACTCAATTGAAAGTCAGTTTCTGTGCAAGATGTGCTATATTTAATTTTATAGATTAATAAATTAATAGCCTCTGGCACCTTATGCATAGTTCTGTTGAATCAATTCCTTAGATACCCTTCAAGAAATAGACTTAAACATTGTTCACATTCACATGGGCAGAAGTACATACCCACTGAGTTGTCCCATGGATATACTTTAATTTTTCTATTTTTAGTCATACAGTACAAAAGACCCTGAATATCTAAGTCTTCTGGAGAATATTGCATTGATCCACTATATTAGTGACAGAAATTTGATGCCCTCCCTGTGTGTTCCAGTAATCTATTGCTGCATAACAAACCAACCTAGGAGTTAGTGTCATAAAATAATCCTTTCATAATTTTGTGCGCCTCAGCTGAAACATTCCGTTCATGGGATATGTAATGTGAAGAAAAACCCAGGAAGCTAGATCACTTTCTAAACCAAGGCCCCAGACATCATGCCCCTGTAAAACCATCCTACCTATATCCAACTGTTCAAGCCTACTGGTAAGGAGTAAATAATTGAATCAGGGAAAGAAAAAGGTGTTTCCTTGTTGAGATTCACTCAGGGTGGCTGGCAAATTATTAGGGAAAGTTAGAAGACTATAGTCTCAAACCTTTTGGAAGGCTGAAAAGTTTTGATGGAACGGGCTGAAGGCAGGCAGTTCATTATGTAAGAATTTTAAATCATAGGATAAAAGATAGGGACAAAAAGTCTTCCCCAGTTAAGTTATGTTTACCCCATATTCATTTGTCTCTACTCAAACTGTTTGCACACGTAAAATTTGTGCTGGATGGCACTCTTAGGGGAGATCAAAGGGGAATTATCCTTTAATGGTGTTTACTCTGGGCACCAGAACCTACAGGTTTTATCATTCATAAAACCACTCTTTTAACCATGTTAATTATCCACAAGTATATTGACTTAGAACCTCTGTTATGAAATCTATTGTGAATAAATGTGAGGAGGTACAGGGAGGTGTGGTCAGGTAGCTGCAATTGTCCTCTGAAAGCAGCTGACAACCATCCCTAGCCCACTCAGATTCATTGTATTCTAGGGTGTGTGAGTGCATTCATTAATCTGTCGTTGAGTCGGGGTCTACAGGACAGACCTCCACAGGTGGTGATCGACGTCTCATTTCCTTCCAAGCAGGTTCCAAGATGAGCAACATAGTGGTACTTCTTGGTAGCTTTAGGAGGTTAATGACTCAAATTTATTACAAACAAGGGACAAATTCCATCAGACACTGGTGAAAAACTCCTGCAAAGAATCTGTTGGCTCTCTGATACTTGTCAGGTACAAGCGCTTGGGTTAACTGAGTGGGCTCCTGTGATCTGAGAAAATGCCTCAGGTGTTTGAAGTTGTAAGCCAAACAATACTCAACTTAAGGAATTCCATCTTGTCTTAAATTGTCTGAAAACTTTCCCCAGCATAACTTTACACTAACAAAAGGAGAAACCTTGTTAAAAAGTTGCTGAAAAGAGTTTTGAAACTGGCAACAGTAGACAGAAAGACCTGGAAGGTCATCATGAACTCCTCTTTAGACCCCTTGCATTTGGAAACTGAAAAACACAAAGATGTGATTGTAAATATGGACATCACTGCTGCTATCAACTCTTCAACTGAGAGATACCAGCAGGAAAGTAAAGTCTTCTACTAAACATCCCTCATCTTACACAGTGACTATTTTTCCACATAGTAGGTACTGCAAAGTATCTACTACTAATCAGTAAATTTTCAGTACCTGTAAATCATATAACAAACTTCATAGTTCCAATAAAATCATTAAGCAATATTTATAGTTTTTGAAATCAATTCTATTCTTTTTAAAATTCCTTATTTGGTTTTCACAAACTTTGAGGCTATAAACAGTCTACTTAGGAAATGTAAACATTCCCGGCACCCACAGCAATTCAAAAGGTAGCATTGAACTTTAATAAGGCACCTGAACTATCAAAACAGGTTGTGGAAATATTAAGTACAGTAATGCATCATTTAACAATGGGAATATGTTCTGAGAGATGCATCGTTAGGTGATTTTGTCATTGTGCAAACATCATGGAGTGTACCTATACAAACCTAAATCGTATAGCCTATTACACATTCAGCCTATGTGACATAGCTTATTGCTTGCAGGCTATAAACCTGTATCGTATGCCATTATTCTGAATACTGTTGACAATTCCAATACAAGAGGTAAGTATTTATGTATCTAAACATATCTAAAATAGAAAAGTTTGAGTAAAAATACAGATAAAAAATGGTATACCTATGTAGGACACTCACCACGAATGGAGATTACAGGACTGGAAGTTGCCCTGGAAGAGTCAGTGAATAAACAGTGAGTGCATGCGAAGGCCTAGGACATTGCTGCACATGACTGCAGACTTTATAAACACTGTATTCTTAAGTTATGATAAATTTACTTTAAAAGGTCTTTCTTCAGTTGTAACTTTAACTTATTGTAAATTTCCTACTTATCAACTTAGATTTTTTTTAACTTTTTCGACTTTTTTGTGATAACACAGCTTAAAACACAAATGTACAATGGTACACATTTTTTATATCCTTATTCTACAAACTTTTATCTTTTTTATTTTTATTTTTAACCGTCTATAATTCCTTGTTATAAAGTGAGACACAAACACACATTTTAGCCTACATCTATGCAGGGTAAGGGTCATCAATATCATTGTCTTCCACCTCAACATATTTTTTCCACTGGAAGGTCCTCAGGGGCCATAACACACAGGGAGCTGTCATTGCCTATGATAAAAATGTCTTTCTCTAAAATATCTCCTGAAGGGCCTGACTGAGGCTGTTTTAATTTTTTTTTTTTAAGTAGGAAGAGTACACTCTGAAATAACAATAAAAGTGTAGCCTAGGAGAAATACATAAACAAGTAACACTGTCATTTATAATCATTATTATATACTGTACATAATTATATGTGCTATGCTTCTATACAACTGGCAGCATAGCAGGTTTATTCACAGCTGCATCATCACAGACACAGGAGCAATGTGTTGCACTATGCCTTTGAAATGGCTGTGATGTCACTAGGTGATATGAATTTTTCATCTCTATTGTACACTTAAAGGACTGTCCTGGTGCATGCAGTCTGTTGTTGATAAAATGTTGTTATGAGCACATGACTATACAAATAACGCCTAAATAAGTGTTGGGGGATGGCTTAGTTGCCTATACATGATTAAATGAGATTAAATGATCCATCAGAATTTTTCATGTTGATCAGATAATAAAAACTTGTCAAATGCTAGGAAGTGGCCTCATAGTCTCAGACTCACTGTACCCCTCCACCCAACAGCATTGCTCTGTAGCATTAAATATCCCCAGAAATCTCCATGCCAAACACCGCAGGTCCCTGGAGGAAACACTAATCTATCTCTTCTCCCTCATACCTCTACATTCCCTTGATCCTACCCTCCACTCAGCCACCATAACAGAGATAAATATGAGTCAAAAATGTAGTTTTGACCTCTTGTTATTTTGGTTCAAGTATTAATAAACATATTTCTCCAGGAGTAAATTTTAAATAGCTATGTGCAATGACTGATATAACATTTTTTTTTCTGTTCCCAACATCCTGTAACATAATTTGCACAAGTTTTATTCAGGTGTAATTTTCATACAAAAAATTAGATCTGTTTTAAATATACTTTGATGAGTTTGACAAATGTATCTGCACATGTTACCACGACACACCAAAATAAATACATTTATTCTTAAAAAAAAGTAACGAGTTCAGATATAAGAAGGCACCGAGAAAATTAATTTTAGCATGAATACTATTTTTAAAGTTTTCACTGTTTTGTTTCACAAATATAAAAAATCTAATTTTTTTCATTGGAATTGAGAATACATATGGGATTCCAAAAATAATTCTAATTAAAAAAAATCGAGTCTATTTTATTCTCTAGATCACAGTTTAACTCATTTACTAGTTTATTAATTATTTATTGATAAGTATATATTGTCTGTATAAAATAGGTTGCTGGCAATTTCTTTTTAAAACACTGTGTAGATTTAGGAGGTAGAAATGCATTTTTCTTCCGTGAACACATCATATAGCAGTGAAGTCCAGGCTTTTATGCCACTGTCATCCAAATAGTGTACATTGTATATAATGCGTAATTTCTCACCTCTCATCCCTGGCCCACTCATCCAAGTCTCCAATGTCTATTATTCAACTCTCTATGTCTATGTGTACACATTGTTTAGCTCCCACTTAAAAGACAGAATATATGGTACTTGAGTTTCTAAGCTGTTTTGCTTATTAAGAAAATGGTCTTCGGTTCCATCCATCTTGCTGCAAAAGACATTATTGAATTCTTTTTAGCCTGAGTAGTTTCATGAGACATATACACCACATATTCTTTATTCAGTTATCTAGTAATGGGTAATTACATTGATGCTATAATTTTGCTATTGTGAAAATTCAGCAGTAAACATCCAAGTGCAGGTGTCTTTTTAGTATAATTATTTATTTCTCTTTGCATAGATACTCAGTACGGGGATGGCTGGATCAAAGAGTAGTTCAATTTTTAGTTTTTGAGAAATCTCTGTAGTATTATTTTTTTATTTTTTATTTTTATTTTTTGAGAAAGAGTTTTGCTTTTTCACCCAGGCTTGAGTGAAGTGGCACAATCGTGGCTCACTAAAACCTCTGGTCCCCAGGTTCAAGCAATTCTCCTGCCTTGGCCTCCTGAGTAGCTGGAATTACAGGCTCCCGCCACCACGCCTGTCCAATTTTTGTATTTTGGGTAGAGATGGAGTTTTGCCATTTTGGCCAGGCTGTTCTCAAATTCTTGACCTCAGGTAATCCACCTGCCTTGGCCTCCCAAACTGCTGGGATTAAAGGCATAAGCCACCATGCCCGGCCCTGTATATTTCTACAGAGATTTTACTAATTCACATTCCCACTAATGGGTATAAGCATTCCCTTTTCTCTACACCCTTACCAACATTTTTAACATGTTAATGATAGCCATTCTGATGGTATAAGATAACTTCCCATTGTGGTGTTAACTTGAATTTCTCAACGCTTAGCGATGTTGAACATTTTTTCATATGTTTGTTGGCCCTTGTATGTCTTCTTTTGAAAAAAATCTCTGTTCATGTCTTGTGCCTATTTTATAATGAAGTTATTTGCTTCTATTTTGATTTGTTGCAGTTGTTTTTTTTCCTTTCACTTTTATTTTAACTTCCTGGATATGTGTGCAGTTTGATACATAGGTAAACATGGTGGTTTGCTGTACAGATCAACTCATTACCCAGGTATTAAGCCCAGTACTCATTAGCTGTTCTTCATGATTCTCTCTCTCCCCACCCCCAGAAAGGCCCCAGTATATGTTGTTCCCCACCACATGTCTATGTATTCTCATTGTTCAGCTCCCACTTATAAGTGAGAACTTGTGGTGGTTGGTTTTTTGTTTCTACGTTAGTTTGCCAAAGACAGCAGCTTCCAGCTCCATTCATGTCCCTGCAAAGAACATTATCTCATTTTTTTTTCCAGCTGAATAGTATTCCAGGGTGTATATGTACCATATTTTCTTTATTGAGTCTATCACTGATGGGTGTTTGGGTTGATTCCATGTCTTTGCTATTGTGAATAGTGCTTCAGTGATCATACACATGCATGCATTTTGATAATAAAATAACTTATATTCCTTTGTTTATATACACAGGAATAGGACTGACTGTCGAAATGATATTTCTGCCTTTAGGTCTTTGAGGAATTTCCATACTATCTTCTACAATGGGTGAAGTAATTTACATTCCCACCAGCAATGTAAAAGTGTTTCCATTTCTCCACAGCCTCACAAGCCTTTGTTGTTGCTTGGCTTTTCAATAATCATCATTCTAACTGGCGTGAGATGGTATCTTGTTGTGGTTTTAATTTATTTTTCTGTAATGATCAGTGATGTTGAGCATTTTTTCATACTTCTTGGCCACTTGGATGATGACAGTTTCTTTTGCTGTACAGAACTTCTTTAGTTTAATTAGATCCCATTTGTCGATTTCTGCATCTGTTGCTATTTCTTTTGGTGTTTTTGTCATAATATATTTGCCTGTGTCTATGTCCTGAATGGTATTGGCTAGATTTTCTTCCAAGTTTTTATTTTTTATTTTAATTTTGGGGTTTTACATTTAAATCTGTAATCCATCTTGAGTTAATTTTTGTATAAGGTGTATGGAAGGGGTCCAGTTTTTGTTTTCTGCAGATGGCTAGCCAGTTCTCCCAATACCATTTATCAAATAGGGAATCATATCTCCACTGCATGTTTTTGTCAAGTTTGTAGAAGATCATGTTATTGCAGGTGTGCAGTCTTATTTCTGAGTTCTGTATTCAATTCCATTGGTCTATATTGTTTTTGTACCAGTATCATGCTGTTTTGGTTACGGTAGCCTTGTAGTATAGTTTGAAGTCAGGTTGTGTGACCCCCTCCAACTTTGTTCTTTTTACTTAGGACTCTCTTGGCTATTTGGGCTCATGCTGGTTCCATATGAACTTTAAAATAGTTTCTTCTACTTCTTTGATGAATGTCAATAGTAGCTGAATGGAAAAATCATTGAATCTACAAATTACTTTTCACAATATTGATATTTCTTATCCATGAGCATGGAATTTTTTTTTTCTATTTGTTTGAGTCCTCTCTGATTTATTTGAGCACAGGTTTTTAGT